GTAGCATACTTCTAATTAGTAACATTTAGGCTTCAGTACAAGAATTTGGCCAAGACTCAAGTCAACAGAATAGAAACTAATTGCATCAGCTGTGAGTTTCATCTCTTTAATTTTCTGCAGTGCCTGAACTTCTCAAAATTAAGTAATTCTCCAAGGCCAAAACGTCAAATAAATAAAGTTAACAGTTAATTGTGTCTCCTTTAAATCAGAAGTGGCCAATCTGCCTGTCCCCTGAAACAGGTGTGTGCATGTGTGTGTGTGTCCCAGAGCCACCACTGACTACAGTTGCTGAAAACTGGTGCCACAATGTCCATGTACCATTCTGAGGTGGGAAACCCTCCAGTCATGTTTTAGATGCATTCTGCTGAATCCTAATCCTATTTCGACCCGCCCTAAGTACTCTTAAAGGAGGCCTGCACAATGAGATTCCCCAGTAGTACATTTTTAATGCCTTCAAGTCAGTCTTAACTCCTGGCAACTGCAATTGTCTTCTTGGCAACATTTTTTCCCAGAAGTGGTTTGCCACTGCCTCCTTTCTAGGGCTGACTGGCCCAAAGTCCCCCGGATGGTTTTGTGGCTGGGGCAGGCCAGGTATTCACATTCCTAGTTGCTAACCCAGAGTCTCTAACCACTACATCAAACTGGCTTTCAGAGGTATATTAACCTAACCCTAATCCACTGAAATCTTGGAGGAAACAAAACAATTTGTTTGACTTAGTACAATGCACCTTGCCTAGAGAGGGAAAGTCAGCAGCCCTGCCACACCAGAAAGTCTTGAGCCAAGCCAGCCCTCTGCTTTTACCCATTGTCAAAACCACAGTCAGTAAGAAAGAGTATTACAAAACAAAAGAGTGAGTCCAGGTTCAAACTTTAACTCCCACTTTTGCATCTACACTTTAATTAAACTCACGGGACCATTTCCCTAAAGATGAAGAGGACCAAGTCCAAGATGCTTCCCTAAGAGACTTTAGCTACTGGGATGTCCAGGCAAGGAAAGTGAGATTCTTAAATTGATTGAATAAAAGGAAAATTAAAAGAAGCATTGTTATTGTTCTGCCAAAAACAGTGAGCCAAGGAAGTTGAGTATAGATTTCAGAGTTAGAAATGGTTTTGGATAGCTAGGGAAGTCTTTTTTTTCAACAAGTGACCTCAAATTAAAAAGCTTAGACTTTCTCATTCAAAATACTTTACTTTCAAAAGGAATCGATCAAATCATGTTTTGTTCCCTCCGTCCCATCTACCCAACATTGATCACAATATATATACTGAGTATTACTAAGAAAAAGTTCCATTCAGTCAAAATGTAATTATTTTTCATTAGCTCTGAATGACAGATCTCTGGCTTTGTTTTGTTTTTAAGCTAACCATTTTTTGCATTAGAAAGCAGGGTTTCAAAGCCTGCTAACAATTAGAGCGGACTGCTCAGTTGGGAAGCTAAAACAGAAGATGTGGAGATTTAATCAGATTAGTAGAAGCAGCTACAAGCTTTTTGATAGAGAATTTGCACCCCAAACCTATGCAGATTTTTGGCCACAAATCATAAGGGGTTCACTATAGCTTGCTACTCTGATTTCCAATCCTGCCTTTTTGCCGGGGGGGGGGGAGAAGGAAGGAGGGCAGGATTTCATGCCTCTTCTTTTCATTTTCTTAAACATAAATCTCCCCAAACCTTGGATTTTAAAAATTATCATTGACTTTGGATACTCATGGATCACATTTCAGCTTTTTGAGTGGACCAGAAATGCCTTTGGATATATTTCTTCTTTTCTGTTCCTACAAACAAGGGATTCAACGTGACAGAAATTGTACATCTCAACACTAAAATTGAATGTTTTATGTCAGTATGCATGGGAGGCTTTAGAAAGTCCCACAGGCCCTGAAGTCCAAAGCAGTGAAGGTCAACCTTCTGTTTGTGATACCTGGTATAATATTTAAGAGGTTCTCATGGGCATTCGGTCTTGATTTGACCCATTACATATCCCTACTGGTTTCCATTCAGAAATAGATAAACCATGCCCAGCAATTTGATTTCCAGTTATGGCTGCAACTGGTCTTGTGCTCTTAATACTGCATGGAAACCAACCCTCTTGCTCCCTGTTTCCACAGACAAGGATTTTAACATGCTTGATTCTGGGATTCAGTGAAATCATTATATAGCTTGACACTGAATATTCTGCATCAATACATGCAGTGTGCTTTGGAGAATAAAGAAAAGACTGGATTCAAATGTAAAGAAGGCTAACACTGAATTTGAGATCGCTGGTAGAAAATTCAAGAGGTTCTCTTTGTGGTGAATTTGGTCTTGATTTTATTGCTTACGTAATCATGTTATTAATATCATTTGGAAAAATAATCTGAAAATTAATATTAGGTTCTAAGGAAAAGAATAGACAAAGCATATCTAGGATACAAGTAGTCCTTGATTTATTGCCATTCGTTTAACGACTGTTCAAAGTTATGACAGCACTGAAAAAGTGACTTAAAACTGGTCCTCACACTTATGGCTGTGGCAGCATCCCCACAGTCAAATAAAAATTTGGGCCCGTGGCAACTGGCATGTATTTACAACAGTTGCAGCATCCCAGGGTCATGTGATTGCCATTTGCAACCTTCCTGGGGGGCTTCCAACAAGCAAAGTCAATGGGGGAAGCTGGATTCACTTAATGACTGTGCGATTCACTTAACAACCATGGCAAAAAAATGTCATAAAATGGGGCATGACTCGCTTAACAACCTCATCACTTAACAACAGAAGTTCCGGTCCCAATTGTGGTGTCAAGGTACATAAGTCAAGGACTACCTGTATTTTATTTCTAATTAGTAAGACTACTGTTTTAGTGAAAGAATGTTGTTGGAGCTAAAGTCAACAGAATGAAAACTAACTGCTGTTTTGTTCTTAATTCACTTAGGTACATGAACTTTTCAAAGTTAAACAACTTTCTGAGCTTAATTACTATACTAAATGACGTTAGCACTTAGTTGTCATGACTTGAAATAAGGGTAGATTGGCCAACATGTGATCCTTGCCTAATTTCAAAAGTTTCTTTTCTCCCAGCCTAGCAGCTGCCAAGGCAGGGGCAAATCATGCTTCCTTGCAGAGATAGAGTCCAGCAGAGATAGACTTGGTGCCCATGATGTCAGCTGATAAAGGCCTCTTCTTTACCTAAGCTCTAGATGCATACCTAAGCATCCACACACTCTAAAAACTCTTTCAACACAGTGCAGAGATTTAGCCCTGGGGCAATAATGCAATGGTCGTTGCATTGGTTACCAGTCTGCTTCTGAGTTCAGTTCAGTTAGAAATTCCTACATGGCTCAGCTCCTGGATACCTACAGTACTGTCTCTCCTGGCAAGATTTGGCTTGCCCTGTGTATTCTTTTAGGGAGGGTGTGTAAAATGTGCTCATCCTGTGACTGCCCCACACTTTGGAACTGTTGCAGAATTACTGTAATTTCCCATTTAGTTTGGCCCCGGCACCCTCCCAGTCAATTCCTGTATCCAGATCAGAACAAGCACAAGTGTTCTCAGATCAGCTAGCAGAAGAATAGTTTGATGTTTAACAAGCATCAGTAAACACCCAAACTGTTAACTGGTGAAATAGGATAACAGGCAGGCAAAACCAGGCAAGAATTAACATTATATTCAGCAAAAAGTACAAAACTTTCCAAAACCCCTAGAAACAATATTGCGAGTAATTAGCATGGCCAGTCCCCAAGGGAGGGGCCTTTGGTTACTCCAGTTTTACTCTCTTCTGTAATAAGAGGCATAACAATGGAGATGGAAAACAGACTGCCAGGTGATTCCCTCCTTTATTCCACACCTGGAAGGAAAGAATTTAGTGGGTAGAGATAAGGTATCCAACGGGAACCACTTGCATCCCTGAAATACAGGGTCTACAGGCTTTGATGCATTCATGAAAATGACCAGACCAGCACCACACCATAAGCTCTGGTTTTTCTTAGGGGCACGTGACTCCCAACAAAGGTACAGAAGGGGCGAAGCTTCGGTGGGGACACTGCTTTTCTCATCTACCTCCATCTGACACACAAACACCCTGGAGCATAGATGGCCACAAGATTGAACAGTTCTCCTGTTCCAAATATCTGGGGTTAGTCCTTCACTTTGCCAGCAGCAGGAAAGCCCACAGGGACTACGTTGCTAAAAATACAGAGGAGCTCATCTGCCATCCTTAAATTCCTTAAGACAAGAGGTGGCCACTATATACATGCAGCACTCAAATTATTTGAAGCCAAACCAATAACATAACTTCTCTGTGATACCTAGTTGAGCCCCTTCTCCAATTTTCCACCATTAGAACTTAACTTGTATGATCCAGATTTCTAAGATCAGCCCCTCAAGTCCCTAACTGTGTCTCTAATGCCACCCTGAGAGGGGCCTCATGAAAATGGAGGCTAGAGTGTGGTGACCACTCAACTATTGGCTGTTTTCCCCCTTGGCCCTGCCCCCTTAATAATGCTGCCCGACTTCCAGCAACTCTGGGCAGTTTACAATTGTTAAAAACATTTAAAAACAAAGAACAATACAAAAAACACAAAAACAGCACAAGACAAAGGAACAACAATGGCAAAGAAACAAACCCAGAAGGGAAGAAAAAGGAAGAAAGGGTCCTGCTCTCCCTCACCAAAGGCCTGGGTGAAGAGCCAGATCTTCAGAGCTCTTCGAAGTATCAGTAGGGTGGGAGCCGCTCAAATCTCGGGGGGAACCTCATTCCAGAGGGCAGGCACTGCTACAGAGAAGGTGTGCTTCAGGGATCCCTATAGGGATTATTTAATTGATTGTTTAATCAATGGAACCTGGAGTGCCAAATTCTTCCAAATCGAACTGGCTGGGCAGATGCTATGGGAGACAGGCGGTCCCTCAAGGAACCAGGCCTATGCCATGTAGGGATTTATAGGTGGTGATCAGCACCTTGAATAGCACCTGGAAGCAAACTGGCAACCAGGGCAACTCACAAAGCAGAGGTGTTACATGGGCATACCAAGGCATGCCCATCGTGGTCTGTGCTGCTGCATTCTGGACAGCTGAAGCTTCTGGATGGTCTTCCAGGTCAGCTCCACGTAGAGTGTGTGCCAGTAGCCAAGCCACGAAGTGACCAGGGCATGTGACTGTCTGAAGGGCCCCCGATCCAGGAAAGGGTGCAACTGGCGCACAAGATGAAGCTGTGCAAAACCCTTCCTGGCCACAGCGGCCACCTATGAATGATGATTATCAATCCACACGGAAACAGGCACATCCTGTTTTCAATCCACATGGAAACTCAGAAAGGCAACACGAGGAAACGCTTTTCTTTCCTTCGCCCACGAGAGGGCTCTCGGGTTTTTCTTTGCTAGGCCCGAGGAAGCTGCCAGCTCTCCTCTTCGCTGCCAACGGCGTGCAAGATTCCTGCTTCGTTTTCCGGGTTACGGGGAGGCTGCTGCGGCTGCTCCACCACGTGGCCGTCCCATTTCGATGCAAGGAGGTCTAGCGGGGAAAAGACCTTCCTCGCTCCTTTCGGGCTTGCCCGCAAAGTGGGAACGCTGTTCCTTCTCCATTCGGCCCAGAGGGCTTCTTGACGCACGGCTGAACCTGGGCAGGTAGAAAGCGCGGGGGGGGGGTCCCCGTCCGCCCATCCAGCTGCACTTCCCGCTGCGTCCAGGCACTCCTCAACCCCGGGAAGTGTCTCCCGGGGAGAACAGAGGAAGCGGAAGAGGGTTGCGAGGGTTCGCGCACGCGCCCACGCCGGTCGCTCGTGGGAGCCGCGGCTTCGCAGCGTCGCTCTTTTCTCCACCTGCCAGGAGGGAACCGGACGAAGGCTGTTTCGGAGCACAGGGAGAAAAGACCTTCTGCTCTGCGAAGTCGGTTCCCTCCTCTCTGCAGGACAAGTCCTAAGGGCGTTTGAGCAGCAGGCAGCCTCGGATGGCACGCCAGCGGGTCTTCTGCTAGGCAGGGAAAGCGACTGCGTAGAGCCGAAGTTAGAAGCAGCCGGTGGCGCCGTTTGTCTTGGGTCAGGGGCGGAACAGGCAGAGCAAGCAGCGTCCCACCCCCCTCTGCCACACGGAAAGTGTTTTAGATGGTTCGTATGCGGCTTTCGCTCTTCTTAGGTGCAGTTTTTATTTCGTTCTGCCATTTTTGTTTCCAGTATGGCTCGTTGCCCAATAACTAAGATGTATTTTCCCTTTCCTCCTGAAATTAGTCGCAAGGTTTTCTTAGCGATGGCGTCCCACAAGTTTCTGCTTTCCCGAGTCCAAGCAGAAGCAGCGATCGGTTGGGCCCCAGGGGATCAGCTCGGGGCCTGGTCTAGAAGAAGGTGTGTTTGGTCAGCCTCCATGAAAGTTCCAGAAGACTATCGCTTTGGAAAAGAGGAGCGGGCCGGCACCCGTGGGGAGGTCATGGCGGACATGAACACCCTGTTCCAAGACATGGAGGAGTACAACAGAGAGAGGTTTCGCTCCGATGCTCTCCCTTTGGGAGAAACTCCCTGGCAGACTCTGTTCCGGCTGGGAGAGACAGCTCAGAGATGGCTAAGGCCGCAGGACCGCACCAAAGGACAGATTGTGGATGTGGTCATCCTGGAGCAGTTTCTGCATGTGCTTCCTTTGGGAATGCAGGCCTGGGTGAGAGCCAGGAAACCAAGTAGCAGCCAGGAGGCAGCTCAGCTGGCTGAAGCTTACCTGGAGCAACAGGTATTCTTGCTAATAAGAAATGGAAATCCTGATTCCTGGCCTAATGCTAGGAAAGTTGCTGTTCCGCTGGCCGCAAGCCCTGACCAAGCCAGATTGGATGTTGGGCCCTATTGGATCTGTCCTACAATAGGGTACAAAGGGAGTGGGCAGTGGAAAGAAGAAGGCTAAAAACTGCATCTCCCTTGATAACAGTTCCCATCTTTCTAGGAAAGCCTGTTCTTACTTGGAGAGCTACAGAACTAACATGAAGACATACAACCCAGTAGAGCTAGGTTCACACAACTTGCTAATTACAAATCCCAGTTTGGTGTCCCAGGTTCACCTAACATCTAATACCCAAACCATATTGTCACTTAACCCAATGGCCTAGTTCACATAAGTCAGTGGCTGGGCCAACAACAGACCACAACCACAAGTCAAAATTGTGAGTTGTATTCCGACTCTGGTTATACGGTTAAGCCTCTAGTCTCCATCCTTCTGCCTTAACCTAAGTTAGGAAAGGCCCTTCTTCAACATTATGTTTACCATTCTACCATCAGGGAGCTTTATATAAACTTGAATAAAGAATTACCAATTCAAGATTCAGCAGGCTTCATTATATTTTTGGTAAATGGCATGGTTCACAGTTATCAGAATAGTGGCCAGATCAAATGCATTAATTTATTCAATTTTCTTCCTCTTCTAGTGCCCTGTGTCTTTCCAGGAAGTGGCTGTATATTTCACCCAAGAGGAGTGGGACCTTCTAGATGAGGAACAAAGAGTCTTGTATTACACTGTTATGCAAGAAAATTCTGAGAACATGACAGGTAAGATTGCCCTTCCTGCAAGACCATGCAAACCTTTCAGAAGGTGTCAGCCCCACTCAGTAGACCAGACCAGAATAATAAGTGTCCTTGCCTATTTCTGCAAAAGGTCATCTCCCTTACTCTCTGCAAAAGGGCTTTTAGGCAAGTTCTGTTGAAATCTCTCCATATCCCAAAGGGCTGTTTCTACCTCATGCTACGTGAAACTCATCATATTTCTAAAAATTAGGACTGCCGTTGACTACCCAATATCAGTGAAGGAGGCCAGCAGTTGAAAACTAGAATGCCCAGGACTAGCTCAACCAACAGTGGCTGGAAATTAGCATAGGCTGGTTGAAAAGGGTGGATGTCAGGAACACAAGGAGTGGATTAAATAGCCTGGAAATGAAAGTGTCTGTTATATCAGATTTCAGGCCTGTTTCCAAATAGTGGTATTTTTTCCACAGTGAATATTAAGGAATAATTCTAAGGTTTGGGGAAAGGAAACCTGGCTTGAGTTAGATCCTTGAAGTAGACCTTAGGTTCAGCCTCTGGCATCTCAGTTAAAAAAAATTATTCAGCAGCAGAGAATGGGAAAGACCTCTGTTGGAGAATCTGGAATGCCTTCCACCAATCAGAGTACTTTTTAATTTGTGGTTTGTTAGATTTCTGTCCCAGGACCAAAAGACAGCTTACTTGGGAATCTCCATTTTATCTCTACAACAGCAACAACCCTGTGTGGTGTATTGAGCTGAGAGAGGGGTCTGATGCAGGGTCACCCAGAGTTTCCATGGCTTAGGGTGGACTTTAACCTGATTCTCCCCAAGTCTAGTCCAGCACTTCAACTACTACTACACCAATAGACAGTTCTAAGCTGTTTGGTCCTTGGTGTTCTCTGAGCTTGGTTGTTTTCCTGCAAACATTTCTGAGACGATCAACAGGCTTGGTATCACTGTTGCGCACTGCAGGAAACAGCACCTGGTAAACAATTAAGAAAGACCATTATCAAGAACTATCAAGAAAGAAACTGACCCCTAATCAATCATTTATAAACAACCAGCAGACTTCACACTTCCATGCACTGATGATGTTATCTTGCCTGGTAAATGAAATATCTTGCAGACAAACAACTAAGTTAAGAGAACTCCAAGAAATCAACAGTTCAACCCTGAGCTACATATATTTTCTACTACAGGTTGTCCTCACTTAGCAACCAGCAATTCTGTCACTAAGCAGCACAATCACTAAGCAAAACATCATATGACTGCAACAGACTTAGTATGTCAATTCCCATTTGGTTATTAAGCAAGTCACCACAGGTCATTAAGTGAGACATCATATGGCTGTGACTTGTGGTTTTACTGCTGGCTTCTCCATTGACTCTGCTTGTTGGAAGCCAGTTGTGAAGTGCACAAATAGTGATCACGTGACTGTGGACACTGTGATGGTTGTAAACAGCCGCTGGTTGCAGTGTGCCCAAATATCAGTCATATGACCACAGGGACACTGCGGTCGTAATACGAGGACTGGTCGTAAAGTTACTTTTTTAGTGCCATCGTAACTTCGAATGGTTGCTGAACTTGGCAGTTGTTAAGTGAGGCCTGCCTGTACTAGAATTCTGAGCTAGCTAAGTAACCAGCTTGGCCCAGGATAAAACACTTTACTGTGTTAGATAGCCACAATCTTCTTCCCTTTTATTGTGTTTCTTTCTCTTGATCTAGAGCTCTTGATTTCCAAATCTGACCCAAGTCTCCAGCCCAAGTGGGAAGAAGAGCCACAAGTGGCTGATCTCCAGACATTCAAAGGAAAAGACTCTATCGTTCAAGGGGTTGTGAATTGTGAGGACATAGCTATGTTTGGTGAGAAGATATTTCTTTTTGTGAGAAAAAAATCCTATTTTATGTTTTATTGGGTTATGTAGTTTACTTTTTTTAATTCAAGCACTTTTGAATCACCTGTGTGCCATCCAAATGCAAGGCAGTTAGAAGATACAACATTTAGTTGATCAGAACGTCCACAATGTTAGGTTGTATTCCTTTAGTACGCAGGTGACGTATTCTTTTTCTTCTGTTAACATAGCTATACCTACTGCCCTAATGATTTCATTACCTCCACTGTCAGGGAGCTGGCTTGGCTGTAGTAAATAAGAGACATCTTTCAGAGGCTCACATTAACCACTCAGCCATTCCAGCAGATAGCCCAGCCCTCAGCATGATCAGGGGAACATCCAGTAAGAGCCATTCCAATCCATCAGCCCTCTGGCAATGACTGTTTTAATTGGCCCACTGCAGCTGCAGTAACTCTTAAGTCCCAGTAAGTCTAAACCCCACCCAATAATGTAGTCTCTTCGTGCCTGCAGAACCACAGAATGTTCCACATCTTTGGATCACTCACCAAAAATGTATTTGAGGTGCGCCTGCTAATCAATGAGGAAACATCTCAATTGGACAGACCATTGAGAGTATGATGGACAGCACAACCATCCATGGGGACTTGGGTGTTGCCCCTAAGCCCACTTTAGCCAGTTCCGGCATGGTAATATTTTGAATTAAAGCCTACCAAAAACTTTCTGGCTGGTCACCACTCAAGGTAGAGCTTTAGATCTTGAAGGCTTTTAGAAAGGGCTTATAGAAAAGGGCTATTTTCCTGCATTGTTTCTGATATTTCTTCTGGCTTCACTTCTTTCCTTAATCCAGAATTACCACTCCAATATGCATATGACAGTTCTCATAACGGTGAACCTGACATGATCTTCCAGATCGGAGCAGAGGGAAAGGTTCAGGAGTCTGAAGAAAGGAATAATCTGAGGCATTCTTCTCCAGGTGAGGTGTTAGATCAGCTCTTTTTGAAGCAAACCTGTGAAGATAGGAGTGGGAAGACTGTTCCAAGAAGGAAGAGGAAAGGTGAGGCTGTAAAGACAGGTCCAGCTTCCTTCTCCATTATGAATGAGCAAAACATAACCCTTCTTGGAACAGAGCATTCCAAGGAACACCAGAACATCCCGTTTTCTTCCAGACCATGCCAATTTGGCCTTCCTGGAAGTAGTCCAGCAGTTTTCCAGTGTTCTTCAGAATATTCCAGTGCCAGAACAGTACATTTTTCTCACCCATTCTTCCTTCTTGTTATTACTTCTGCATCAAGAATGTCAGAAGAAGTGAGGTGCTTCAAGATTCTGTTGGTCTATCAGATGTGTTGTGAGGCAGGTCCCTATGCTTTCATTTTTGTTAGTTCTCTTGTGAGAAGGGAAAATAAAAAGTAGTGAGGAAAGAATGGTGGTTTAGCTGAGTTAGCCAAGCCTTTCAGGCCAAACATTTAGAAAGATGTGCTTCAGATCAGATCCACCAAAATGTTGTTCCCCTTCTAATATGTCTCCTGCCTTGGTATGGTTTTGCCTCTTATCTACTGAGCTGAGGAGGAAGCAGTAATGTCACCAGGATGATCTAGGACGGATGAATCTCTGCTTTTCCAGATATTCCTGAAGTACAGATTGTTGCATCCTTCAGCATGGACTAGATTGACTGAGATAGCATTCCTCACTATTGACTCAGACCTCCCACCTCGAGAACTTGTCTGGTTCTGGGTACCACTCTTAGGAACTATTCCGATAAATTGGAATATGTTAAATGAAGGCCAGTTGGATTGATCAGATTAGATGTCAGGCAGAAGATCTGTTTCTCTATTAGACTGTCCTTGGGACTGTTATCCCAACAGCCTCCTTGTCCCTCTTCACTGGTTAAAGCAACCTGGGAGGTGACATGCAGTTTGGTCCGTGCAGTACTTTAGCCTGCTTGAGGGAAAGGGTGGTGCGTGCCATTCTGAAGAGGCCACCTCTGTACTGAACTGTTTTGGATCATTTTCATCCAATCTCCAGCCTCCCCTTTTTAGGGAAAGTTGTTGGTTACAGCTGAAGCTGCAGGCTTACATGGGAAGAAACAGCATTAAGCTCAACCTTAGCAAGACTGAGTGGCTTTAGGTTCTTCAACCACCTGTAGTTCTACCATAGCCATTACATGTCCTCCCACAGATGAATAGCAGATCATTAGAACTTCCTGAAACAGTTTGAAACCACTACTAGCCAGCCTTTCCCATTCTTGGCTCCTTAGATATTTTTCAACTACAACTCCCAACCTCCCATGCACCCATGGCCACTGGTCTGGAGTGATCTGGGAACTCAAGTTAGGAAAGGCTATCTCAGTTCATATGTTGGCAGCTCCTGCAGGCCTTGCTTTTTCTTCATGATTGCCCAAAACAATGTTCTGTGCCAATGCTGCTTATGCTGCTGGCAAGGATAATTTTGCATAGAAGATTAAGGACCAGAACTTTCCTGTTGAAACTGAGACTATATTTTTTCCTTGTTCTTGTTTTGCTGGCCACTTCCTTGTTACTACTTTTGCCTCTGTCTTCAAAACAGAATATCTTTGTTGTTCTTGCAGAACTTCTGTATATGAGAAAGGATCCTCATCAAGAAGAGCCTGGAGCAGAGCAAGTTCATGAGCCATCGCGGTGGGATGTGTTCTTTGATCCCAAAAGATCTGAAGAAGCAGTGGAGATCAAATCAATAAGACAGCAGGGGCTATTACCAGAGCTGACACACGCTTCTAAAGCTGACAAGAAAATGCCCAGGAGTAGCTCCCAAACAGGTACCACTGTATCAAAAAGAAATTATGCCTGTTCTGAGTGTGGGAGAAGTTTTGATCGCCGTTCCAACTTAATTAAACACCAGAGGATCCACACAGGAGAAAAGCCATATCCGTGTATTGAATGCGGGAAATGCTTTGACCAGCAGTCCAATCTAAACGTCCACCTGAGGGTTCATACCGGAGAGAAACCATATGGCTGCCCTGATTGTGGCAAAAGATTTAGTGTCAAATCTCATTTACATGGACATTACAGGATACACACAGGAGAGAAGCCTTATGAATGTGAAGGCTGTGGGAAGAGATTCCGTGTGAAATCTTCCCTAAATAAGCACCAGCGAACCCATACAGGAGATCCCAAGCTGACCAAACCAACTGAGATCAAATCAGAAGGCCCCCAGGTAATATTACCAGAGCTGACACGGGTGTATGCAGCTCCTGAAACAGAAAATTTCATTAAAATTATGAGTAGCAAGCCCCCAGTAGGAATCACAGTGTCAGACAGAAATTATGCCTGTTCTGAGTGTGGGAAGAGTTTTGATCGGCCTTCACACCTTATTAAACACCAGAGGATCCACACAGGAGAAAAGCCATATCCATGTACTGAATGCGGGAAACGTTTTCATCAGCAATCTAACCTTAATGTCCATTTACGTCTCCATACTGGGGAGAAACCTTATGGCTGTCCCGATTGTGGCAAAAGATTCAACATCAAATCCCACCTACATGGACATTACAGGATCCACACAGGTGAGAAACCGTATGAGTGCGAAGACTGTGGGAAGAGCTTTCGTGTGAAATCTTGTCTAAATAAGCATCAGCAAGTCCATACAGGAGAAAAGCCATATAAATGCCTCTCCTGAGAAAAAACATTCACCTACACCTCTAACCTAATTAAACACACAGTCATTCACTGGAGAGAAAGGTTACATATATTCTGAATCTAAGAAAAAACTGCCAACAGATCAGATCTTATTAAGCATGAAAGAATTCACACAGGAAAAAATCCTTGTCCGTGTTCCTTTTACCAGAAATATCTGAAAATCCACACAGAAGAAAGGCCTTATGGCGGCCCCATCTGTGGGAAAATGTTCAGGAATGACTCATATGTATGTATGTATGTATGTATATATGTGTATATATACATATATATATATCACAGCTGATAATAATCCATACAAGCTATAAGCACTGGAAATGCAACATCACTGAGAAATGTTTCCATGCAGTTTTTATTTGGCTATTGTTCATTGAATTCCTTAAGGAACTCAACTGTCGCAAATGCTTTTATGAGGTCAGAGGGAAGCAGTATGTACAGGTAGTCCTCACTTAACAACCATTTGTTTAACGACAGGTTGAAGTTATGTCAGCCTCAAAAAAAGTGCTCTATGACCAGTACTCGCACTTATGACCATTGCAAACCATTGTACCACCCCCCCATGGTCACGTGATTGCAATTTGGGCACTTGACAACCAGCTCACATTTATGATCAGTTGCAGTGTCCTGCAATCATGTAATTGTGATTTGCAACCTTTTTTGCTGATTTCTGGCAAAAAAAGTCCATTAGGGAAGCTGGATTCGCTTAACGACCACATGATTCGCTTTAAAACCATGTGATTCACTTTATGGCCATCATAAAAATGGTCATGAAATTAGGACCGGTCATGTGGTGACTTGCTTAATGTTCGTCCTGTTTAATGACCAATTTTCTGGTTTCTATTGTTGTTAAGTGAGCACTACCTTTATTTGGAAATTTCATGCCCTGAGATTATGGAAATGACCATGCTCTACAGCCCTGAAGTCCCCTGCTGCTTAAAATGCCTTCTTGATGGTTGGCCTGAAGGAGCTTAGTAAACAATAGTCATTCTGTGAGAAGGGACTTAATGCCACAATGGCTGGTTTTGATTTTCCTGGGAACTGGAACAAGTGGCATTACCTTCCAGATAGATAGTTCTGGACTTCAGTTTAACCTGAAACTAAGTAATAGTTATTACTGTTCTTTAAGAAAATCTCAGTTGGGACATGGCTATTTTACTGAAGCTTGTCTGGAAATGACATGAGATACTTCAGAAAAAAATGTCCTCAATCCAGTAGCTGTAAGGCAGAAGCAGATAAGACTTTCCTTTTAGGCCCAGTGGGATTCCAAATGAGGTAGATGAAATATGTGCAGGTTGGAAAAATCAAAAGCTGACAGATAAGGAATGTAGCTTCCACTTCATGGTACTGCTTTCTTCAGAAACAGCAGTCAAAAAAGAATGTGCTTTTCCCCCTCCTCATGAGTTTTGATTTTGGTTCCAACCTATTTATGCAGCCAGATGACTCCATAACTGCCTGGTTTGCTTAACTGAGTCATAAGGGGTAGTGTGTGACATGAGCAGAAAAACTGGGTTGATGGACCTCGCCAGTTAACTGTAAGAGTTCATTTTTAAACTAAACAGCCCCAGGTTTCTGGAGATAAAGTAGCATGTGTTGGAGTGCACACATGTACAACTTCTAAACTCTATTGTCTAGACAGCTGACCTGGAGGTTAAGTCCTACCTCTGCCTTCCATGGCCACATCTTAGACCCAACTTACAAGAAATGGACATTCTAGGCATTTGGTCTTTGTGGCCACATAGAAGCAATGAAAAAGGGATAGAAATTAGTGGATGAATGGGTCCAGTCCCCTAATGTTGTCCATGATGGATTAGTGGTGATTAAGGCAGGCAGGATGTCCCTCCAGCAAAACAGAAGCTCAGGAAGTCCTGGCCTGTTCACCTTGTTGGCAGCAGGTGGGAGGATGGTTGGTGCTGCTGCCAGGCGGTTGGTGTACCCCCAGCAGCACATGGAATGAAGTAACTGGGGGAGAATGCTGGGTTTGTATGAAAATGATCACTGGGTCTTACCAAACCTCGCCCTGTTGAGGCTTGCTTGCTTTCGTAGAAATCCAGCAGGGAGCATTCACAACTATTTCCATGTTCTTGTTAGTTCTACAGCCCTCATCAGTGTAACAATGTGCTTCCCCATTCTGATTTATTTGAATGCCAACTTTTCAAGATTGGGTTAAATTGTAAGAAACAACTTGCCCAAGAATAATCAACCACCATTTTTTTAATGCACAACAAAGCCAGTTAAACCTGGGTTTTCCACTATCTCCTGCAATACTGTGGGCTTCTGATGTGAAGACCCCTTAAGGTATCTCTTGTATTGAAAGGGGATCTTGTTGGCATATAGCTGTAACTTTTATGCTGTGTGGAAATCTAATTGGTTACCATGTTGTTTTTTGAGTCCCTCGCTACTCGGTTCGAGTTTGTTTTTGTCTAGGAGATTGTGTTAAACTCTAGAGCCATCCCATAAAAAGAGAAAAGAACACATTTAATTTCCTGAAGGAGAAATGGCTGAATTCCCTCCATTCCACAAGCTTCTTCTGCTGACTCAGGCAACAGTAGAAGGCTGAGCATAGGCTTTACAATTACTTAAGCATTAGGAGGCAGCAGACTCCTGTAGGGCTTTGCAGAATGAATCAAGACAGCTGTGCAAATGCACACACATGCAGAGAAATCTGGGAATAGCTTCAGGCTTTTGAAGCACCTGCGTGAGCTGTTGTATTTTAAAGGTGAAAGTATTGGGCAAGGACTTCAGGGACTCAAGTTTTGGTTCCTCCTCAGCCGTGACAACTCATCTGGAAATTTTGGGCTAGTTATTCACTCTCAGCCCAACCTATCCCACAGGAGTGTTGTGGTAGGAAAAAATATGTGCAGTATATACCGGGTTTAGTTCCTGGAGGAAATTCATAGAAAGCACAGCTGCTTTCATCATTCAAGAAGAGATGTTTGGTTTGTTCTCCTGGGCATTGTGAAGGATCTTGCATGACTGCCTTGTTCAGCCCTAGAGTCTCCAAGGGTTGATCCAAGAGCAGTGACAGCCATAGGTGACTGCCAACAGCTTGATAGTTGCAGGCATGCGGGAGATGCCCCTTGAAACATTAGAAGAGCTGCAATTTTTACTTGATTAAAAAAAACCCTAAAGTTGATTAGTTCAGAAAATAAACAGAAAATAGGCCCTTTTTGCAGTTCAGCCCTAATCGCACCCACTTAGAAAAACATCCCATTTAGTTCAGTCCAAGTGTGTATAGGATGGTGGCTTGAATTAGTCCCATGGACTTTATAAAAAGCATAATATAAGTACGGGTAGTCCCCAGTTTAAGAACGAATTCTGTTCCCAAGGTCTGTCCTTAAGTTGAATTTGTGTGTAAGCCGGAACAGTATTATTGCATAATACTGTACAAGTAATATTGTGTAATGAACTCAAACCATTGTGTATTTAACTTGAATCAATGTGTATTTAACTCAAATTTTGCTACAGTAGGCTCTGTTCTTAACTATAGGTCATCCTTAAACCGGGCGTTCTTAACCCAGGGACTGCTTGTACTTATGAAAACTGTCGGACTCAAATATTTTAAAATAATACTTCTCTCTTAGGTATGAAAGAGGAACGGGCCGATCATTAAAAATGCTAAGTGTTGTGAAAAATCTACTCACTTAAATTAAATTAGAAACCCGAAAGGCTTCTACAGATTATATACACCTGGTCCTTTGAAACCTTTGAAACAGATAAGAGAAATAATGCAATTACATTGTGACTCTCTAGCTGGAATGCTTTGATAAGCTATTAGAATGACTTCCCCATCATATTTCACATGGGTTTCCTTCCGATATTATCAACGTGTACAATAAACAACATTGTTTACCTTTTACACCATTCCACCCCCTAGGAAGGGCAGCTGTGTACTTTCTGTTAGCCGCCTCCAGTCCCGGGTCACAGTACTAGGCTAAGCTATACCAAAATCATGTTCTCAGTTAGCTACGTGAAGGCTTATACCTAAATATATCTGTGTATCTTTGTTAATGTACGTTTCATTCTGTGAGATCCCCACATTAGAAATAGGCTTCCCCCTTTAAAATTATTTTTCATATAGATGGTAATATGCAATGTCATTGATTAATCTATCATTGCTTTACTTGGGTGACTGATCTATTATTTGCACTATTTAGCATTTATATATACCACTAATTGATTCTAGTTCCTTACCTGTAATTCCTCTTAACCCACATATGGGGACTGAAGCTGAGAAAGTGCCTAGCAATGGTAAGACTAGGATGATATTTGAACCCAGATTTTTCAGACTTTGGCAGCAACGCTGCAGGATGCCATTACATCATTCTTTCCATATGCCATAGATAAGCAGCTTGGCCTGCACTTCATCCATTTTTCCTGTTTTGGATTTTGACTATATTAACTTTTAAACTTCATTTTTCTGAGTATGAGAACAACCGTTTCTTTTACTCTCGTGCCTCCAAAGGAACCTGTGAGTTCCAAATGTTGCCAAGGAGGAGACATAGCCTAGATGTCCTCCTGGGGAGAAGTGATGAAATATGCATCTGACATCAGAATGCAAACCCCACGATTTACACTCTTCCGTCTGGTGCCAGGACGCAGGTATGTAAACGTGCGGTTTGCATGAGGACATCGCTGCGGATATTATTTTTACATCATCGTGGTTAGCTGCAGTGGCCCATGAGACATGGCTTATGTATGTTTGCATGTGATTCCATCAAATCAACTGTTTTTCATCTTTGTCATCTAAGATTGCAAAAACAGAAATCTAATGCTCCATGTATTTCTAAGACAATATGCAGAGGATTGACTGATGCAATATACTAAAAGTAAGGCGTGTTTGTGTTAGTGGGGCCTACTTCTGAAAACAACATGTTTGGACTTAGGCTTTTATCTTCATTCCATCACCACTACATAGAACCAGAACAACCTTTTAGAAAGTTACATATTGATCTCAGCAGGACACCTAAGTAAACACAGTTTGGATAACACTGTCCAAAAGATAATAAAATATAACGTTGGTGTTCTCTGAGCTTGGTTTTCTTCTTGCAGACATTTCATTGCTAGACCAGGTAACATCTGCAAGAACATCTAGCAAAAAACATCTGCAACTTCTAGGAAACACCTGCAATATCAAGGCCAAACAACAAGAAGAATCTTAACAATTTAGCCCGAGCTACATATATTCTGCACTATTGGGATAACGTCCTTCATATCTTCATATTCCCAAGGATTCAGGGTTCCAGTAAGCGTTCCATTGTCTGAGTTAATGACCTAAAAGTTAATAATTTTAATATTTTAATTACTGTTCTTTAAAGCAAGATGGTGAATGGAATACCAGCTGAACGTTGTGTTTTTAACTAGCTATCTCTGTATAATTTTAGTTCTTTTTGCATTGTCTGTTTTAGCCATTGCTACTTTTAACTGGTTGTTTTAATATGTAGCTTTTTAATTAGATTTATATGGATTTTAAATGTATTTGCATTTTTACTGTGCATTGCCCAAATCTTAGAAATAAATAAATAGTCTTCTCAAAAATACAATTACCAAGCAACATTGTACTGATTTTCTTTTTGCTATGCTGATTTTCTTTTTAAAAAACAATCTGATGCCTTTTAGATTGCTTATTTGATGTATTTGATCATAGAAATGCACTTTTTATACACTTTTTAAATGGCAGTGACCCAAAGAGAAGATTAATTTTATCTACTTTTAAGACTGGCAAATGTGAATTTGCTGTAGTACACCCTACATAAGATTAATTGAGGGAAAGTCAATTAACATTAACATGGCTAAGATAACATTCTGATGTTTCTTCCCTTGCTTGTTAACTATTAGATACCTAAATATCCCCCAAAAGAGAGATAGTACGTCACTCGAGGGATTTCTTGACTAGTTTTTCTGTTTTGGTTCATTGTGCATTTCTGCCATGGGGATTATTTTGTTTTGTTTTATTTTTTATTATTATTATTTTCTGTATGAACTCCATAACATTGCTTGAAGAGGAGGAGGTGTATTAGAGTGAAGTCAGCAAATATGAAGAATGAGGAAGGATAATAACCACAAGTTCAAAACAAGGAAACAGCATAGGAAGAGCTGAAGAATGTTGAAGATGCAGAACAAAATAAAAGATCTGTGATGACGGGATGTAATTAGAGGATGGGAAGGGTGCCTTCTCTGTGGTCACCTCTGCCCTGGGGGATAGTATTCCCTCTGAAGTCTGTACAGCCTGCTCTCGCTGGCCTTCAAAGACCCATGAAGACCTGTCTTTCCAACAGACCCTTGCAACGTGGTTTGTAACCCTTCTAACATGGTCTGACACCTGCTGCTTTGAATTATTGTACTTTCAGTCTCTGTGCCTTGCATGCTGCCTAGAATTGCTTCCGCAACCAAAGTGGCTGATTGCATGGTGGGAGAACTGAACCTCCTTGCCCTCATCCTGATACTGATCAGTGGCCTAAAATGATGTGTTGACTTTTTCAATATACCATCAACTCCTGGCAGCTAAAAGTAAAATGCATGAGCACTGGCTCTTTTCTGAGAAATATGTTACAGGATCACAAGAAAGAATTTGGAAAGAGAAAATACTGATGTGCTGTATGAATAAGCAGTACAAAAATGCTTGATTTAAAATAAAATTGCAATGATGTAAAGGTGATTTGACTGAAAGGCAACAGAGACAGAGAAAGGAACGTGGAGGGAAAGACTGGAAAAAAGAGCTCTAAAGACGCACCTATGATGCTTCTATTTCCTGGCTTGAGCATAAAACCCTTGAAAGTTGAATCAATGCTCTTCTATTGCAACAAAGAATTATGCATTGCTGCACATAGGATGGATGGCATAATATAAAAAGAATCATACCCTCTCCCACCCAGCTCCTATGATGTCAGGTTTATCAAAGTGATCTGATCGAAACTGAGTGACTCCCACACTGGCTATTACACTGGAAACTTGTAACACTTAAATGCCTCAATCTGCCTTCATTGATTATATCGATTGTAAGGATTTTTTTGGAAGAAGTTACCAATTATTCCTGCACAGGTTATGAAAGATGTTGAGAGTCCCTTTCGGGCATTGTTGATTCATGTCTGTGTGCTTCCAATAAGTTGATCCTCACAGCTTAGGAATTTATGGTCTGAACTGGAAGCCTGTTATCAGATCTTTTGTCTGTTTTCCTGGATGCCTGCACATTTCATACTAGAATACAACCTGATCATGATTTCCTATATGCTGGATGTTATCCTGCCTCTAAAATGAGTATGTTCCGTCTATCAAACCATTCATTCATTCATTCATTTGTATAAGAGTTTGTGTGTGTACATAAAGGTCCAGATGGTTAATTCATTTAATTTCTATTTCCTAAATGATGCTATCGACAATTATTGTCTAGCAGAATCTAACCCTGGACGGTCTCTAAAAGATTTGCATCATTGTCCTGGTAACTTGTTCTGCTATGCAAATAACTTTGAAGCTATCCCAAAATTCCAAGTGTCCTTTATCTAATTTTACTGCATTTTAAATTCTGCATAAGGCAAATATATGTGGAATAGCATTATCAGCCCCATGCTCCCCTTTAAAGAAAGCCTTATCATATTAAATGGTCCCTGGAGTTAGAACAAATAATGAAGCAACACTGTGCAACAGATCAATGTCAGGATATACTTCTTCCTTGTATTGGCAGAATAAGGTAGTTTAATCCTTGAGGATAATGGCATATTACTGCAGGAATTACAGAAATTATTAATTTATATGAACAATGATTGCTGCAACCATCACGAGCTCTGATCAAAGCCATGCTTTGACTCATTATGTAAGAGCCAGAAAAAGCACTGACTGAGAATTGTAAGCTACATAAAATCAATGACAATTTAATAATATTACAGGAACTTACAGATCAGAAACAGCCTTATAATCAATTGCTCAAATATAAGAAAAATGCCTCAATGAAAGAAAGTTGGGTCTGCCTGATTCAAGGAGTCAGAAATAAGGATTTTGCCCTTTGAGGACATATCGCAGCAGAACATCTTTTGAAAGGTCTTTTTTTTATGGGTAGTTATATCTCCACTGAGGTCTGAGAGAAAGATTATGAGGAAGTATAGTAAGATGCATTCACAGAGCAAAACCCATATTGGGTCTCTAATGAGGACCTTCCAGACCAGACATTAGTAATGACAGTGATTGATTGATTGATTGATTGATTGATTGATTGATTGATTGATTGATTGATTGATTATGTGCCATCAAGTCATTGTCAACTCTTGGCAACCACACAGATAAGATGTTCTCCATGACGATCCATCCCTCACCTGTTCTTTCAGGTCTCCCAATGGTGCACCCATGGCCACTGTAACTGAGTCCATCCAATCATTGGAATAAAAGTGTTAACATCTTATTGTATGCCAATGACGGAATAATTATTTCCAGAAAGGCTTGCTGGACTTGATTTAAAGAGCTCTGGCAATACAATATTATATACAATATTATAAGGAGGAGGACTTGGACATTAACTATCAAAACCCAAATAATGTGAGAAGACCTAAGGTCAGAAAACCTAAGATACCTGTCTGACCACTAGATGAACACCTAACTGAGCAAGTAAGATGCTTTGCACATTGAGATGACTAAGCATGTCCTTCTGTGATGCCTGCTATATGAAGGCATAGTTTTAGGTAGTTCCCCAATATGGAACATCATCTTTCCTGAAATTAGATTCGCCTGGGTCCCAAAAGTGTCTCTAATGCCACCCTGAGACTAGAGACAAGCCTCATGCAAGCGGCGGCTAGAGGGTGGGTGACCATGCTCAACTACTGGCTCAGACTCTCCTTTTTTCCCCTTGGCCCTGCCCCATTAACTCTGAGGGATGATTTTCAGTCCACATGGAAACAGGCTGTGGCAACTAAAATCTCATCCAGGTCTTCTGCCCAGCATGGGATATGATCAGCCCAAAGCACTCATCCAACAGCGTGCAGCAGACACAGAGCGCCAACTGAATCTAGCCAGGTCCCCAAACTTTACTGCCAGTGAATCCAACAGGTACTCTGCCTCCCCTACGGCATAGTTAACTCAAGGGACCTAAACACCGGAGGGGCTTTACTCTGGCACCATGCCATGCCCTCCTCTCAGTTGTCCTTGAAGGCCGGTACAGGAAGGTCCCTTGCCTGGAGGGAGGATGCCCTGTGACTCTGGACACAGAAACAACAGAGCAGGTGCTTCCCCAGGGCCTGTGTTACGGAGGCATCCGTACCAGCCTCATCTCACCATGAC